TACGCTGCTTCACTTAAGTGGGTCGCGGGGGGGGAACTAGGGAAGCTGGAGCCTCCCTCCCCACCCATCCTGCGAGGAGGCACGTGAGGGGCTTTGCTGGTGGGTAGCGGAGTATTTTTGGCATTTTTTTCTTCTTGCTCTTTTTTAGAAATTAAGAACTCGACAGCAGCTGTTTCTCTGCTTTTGGGTTTGCTTTGTGTTCTTTTTTGCAATGAATGCGTTGCAGATTTGGCTTATCAGGCTTGTCAGCCTGCTCCAAGCCCTCTGCTCTCCTCCCTGTCCCTATTTACCCAGGGCGCTGGCTGACGCAGGGCCCTTTCCTGTGTTTGTCACCACCCACCCCAAGGTCCTCCGGTGATAACTTTTCATTTAAGATTAGGGATTTGGGTCTTTTCAAAAGAGTCTTTAACCTACAGTCATCTGAAATGTGTCACTTAATAGGAAAAAAATAATAAATCTCTAAATATACTGTTTAAAGTTGACACACAAGTGATTTTTCTAGTTTGTAATTACCCAGATAATTGATCCAAAGGTTGAAAGGTACCATTCGGGGGGCTGGATCCCACTAGAAAGGAATGAGCTTGAAATAGGGACTCAGATGGTATAAAATACTGAGAACTGGCTGGTTTTAGCTGGCTTTAATGATTTTGATTCTGCTGATTTCAGTGGAGTCGTGTAGCTCTGCCGCTGCCGAGCATCTGCCCCCAAACTTACAGCTGCTGGTGGATGGCTCAGGCACTTGTGTTTCAAAACAGTGTTTGCATCTGAATAACCCAGAAGTAACTCGAACCCCTTTCAGCCTGAGAAGCAAGGTCTTAAAGCAGGTTTTTTAATCTGTCTAAATTAGACCCTGGCTTTGCAAGAACTCCTTGAACTTTGGTGTGTTTGTTAGCCCTCCAACGTGCCCTTAAAATGATAATGAAAGCGATTTTGATGGAAAGGTGGTAGGGCTTGGGCTGGAGGAAACATGCTACTGTGACTTTTAAAGGTGGGGGGTTCACATTTTGAAGTACAAGAAAAAGAAATGCAAAGGAAGACAAACAGGTACTTCACTGCCCTGTAATAGTGATGAAACATTAATTCATCCCCCTGGAATTTCTTGTTTGTGTGCTCCCATAATTTCATTTCTTTGGTGTCTGTATGAAGCTTGAGTTAGTTGAATGCCAGAAGCCAAATACTCTTCGACTAATATCTTTTTATTAGATTTTGTGTGTGCGTGTGTGCCCACACATATGTGTGAGAGAGATATCACCCTTTATAACCCACTTTATGCCCTTGGAGACTGTGAGATGCACTCCGAAAGAATCTTTCCAGCAGCACATTTTGAACTCTATCCCCCAACGCAGGAAGATTTAAGGCATATATTTGGTTTTTGGTGGGTTTTACAGGTGTCTTGTCAGAAGGGAGGGTGGTTTCAGGGAAAAGCTGACATTGGTGTTTGTGCTGGAAGACTTCATGTTGTCACATCTCTGCCTGGTAGCTCAGGACTTTTTACAGCTCCTGAAAGTGGGGAGCAAAGCATCTCCCCCCAAAACCTGTCCTGGAGCTTGTGGGCTGGAGGAGCTGGGAGCTGGCCCAGAGTTGTTTCTAAAATCGAGCTCCCTTGGCTAGATCCTCCCAGGTTTTAAAGGCAGCCTGGGTTGAATCAAACCCCAATCTTTTCCCCATGCACTTTTCAGAGGTGAGGATGCCAAAGAAGCCCCCCCCCCCCGAGCCGGTGGCATGGGTGTGCAGTACACGTGTGGAGGACAGAGGAAGGAGGGAGCAGGACTCCTCCCTGCAGGTCCCGCCCGGGATGCGCCGTGTGGGCACAGGTACCTGCATTTATGTATTTATGCCCACAGCAAACACTTCACCTGCCGCCAACCCAGCAGAGAGTGCAAAGCTCCAGCACAGCGGGGACTTCCAGGCCCTCCTGCTCTGCTCTGCTCTGCTCTGCTCTGCCCAGGGAGAGGACAAGAGCGAAGGCTCACTGCCACCTCTAGGCAAGCACCAGCATAGGCACTTGCTCTAAAGTAGAGCACAGACAGACAATCCTGGGATTTGTCCCAAATCACTGCAGTCTCTGTGCCAGACCCCCCTATCAGCTGGTGTGTGTGTGTGTGTGTGCAGTTACATAGGCTCCTTAAGCTTTAGTATAAATATGTTTAGCCGTTTCTTTATTCCCCGGGGCAGTAATCCCTCGAACGCGTTTCGAGTCGCATAGAAATAGCAGCCGCCTAACTCCAGAGCCGCGGCTGCCGGGGATATTGCGTGTGTGATCTGTGCCGAGGCCGCGGTTTCCTAAGGATCTCAGAGAGCCGAGCATCCTGAGCGGCACGTTCCCGCCGGCGGGCTGCGAGCTCCGGCAGCAGAGCCGGCTGCCGGCCACCCGCCCCCCGAGAGAGACCCATCGCCAGCTCCTTGACACGCAGCCGAGCCCCCCGCCGGAGCCCACGGCCACCGCCGGCTCCCGAAGGAGAGGTGGGTGAGGCCGAACGGCGGCAGGAGAGGGGAAAGGGCTCAGGTTGGGAGACAGAGGGGGGAGGAGGGAAAGGAAACTTGGGGTGAGCGTTGGCTGCTGTGTTTATATTTGGCTTCTCGAACTGCTGGCGGCATATGGCCAGAAGCAAGCAGCGCTGAGCTGATTTCAGGGGAGAGGGGGAACCAGGGAGCAGCTGTGTGAGGGGCAGAGAGGAGGCTATTCCCTCTCCTGGGCAGTTTTGGGGGATAACGTGCTCGGTAGCACCGCTTGCATTTGCTCCCAGCTGTGAGAGGGGGGAAGCAACTTCTATAGACGAGGCTGGCTCAGCAGGGCTGGGCATGGCGCGGCTTCTCCAGAGCTGGGGTCTCTTCTCCGGGGCTCTCAACTACCTGAGTAGGATGAGGCGGGATTACAGGAACATGCTGCCTGTGGAGAAATCCTGTCCACAAATGCTCTTTGTTGGAGGGAGGAAGGTGCAAGCGTTTGCTGTCACACCAAGAGCTGTGTGGGAAGGGGCTCGCTGGGCGCGTGTGGGCTGGAGAGGGTCTAGCTCCACCTTCCCCATTCACAGACCAACATCTGTCTCATTAGTTGTTTATGAACCTCCAAGCCTTCCTCTCCGGGCTGACTCATGGCTACCAGCTGGAGGGAAAGGCTACCTGGAGCTCCTCCCTGTCTCAGGGGGATGCACAGGCCAGCAGCTCCCTTCTCATACTGACGCTTTGCTCCTGGCTTGCCCGGATTTATGGGCTTTGGCAAAGCTCCAGGGGATACAAAAATGAGCATTGTGTCCCATGCAGTTTTCTGCAGGTGAAGGAAGTGCTGCTGTGCTGTGGTGAGGATGTGGCCCATGGATGAGCACAGCTCACCTGGTTCCCTTAAGCTCTGGGCTAGTGGAGGGGGCTGGGATCCTGCCAGGGGTGCAGCTGTAGGGGGGGGGGGGGGGTGAGCTGCCCTGCCAAAGCTGGGGGCTGGGTCCTGGAGCAGCGCAGGGAGCCCCAGAGCACCCCAGCAGTCAGGGCTTTGCTTCCCCAGCATGATTGTGCCTCCTGCAGATCTGCCTCCCTGGCAGGAGAGCAGCAAGGTGTCAGTGGCCGGAGCTCATGTCGTGTGTCCAGGTGGCTTTGGCAGTGCAGAGTCCCCTCGAACACCACGCGAGTGCCATCACACCCACCAGCCGTGGGGACCGGTCCAGTTTCCCTGATAACAACTAGCACGCCCAGCCCTGCAGCACTAAGGCCATGCTCAAAGATATGAGCCCTGAAAAGAGAAAGTTTGGACTTTTCTTAGCCTCGGCTGAAGCTGATAATTTTCAGCCTGTGAATGGGTCACGAATCCCTTCTTTGCCCATGTGAACCTACTCATCCTCCACAGGGCAGGATTCCCTGCCCGATGGATGAGAGCAGATGTCATTGGGTAGATTACTATTAGATTAGTCCTCCTGCATCTAAATAGGCATAATTATGTTTTCGTTAGCCCCGGACAGTGCGTTACAGACTGATGTATAGTTGGTGTAAAGAGGGGAGAGTATGGGGAAAGCAGCTCCAGCCCCAATTCTGCCGCATTTGCCTACCCTCTCCCCATTGCCACCGCTGCAAAACTCCCCGTGTGCCGGGGAGGAACGGGGCTGCTCAGTTTCCTCTTCCCTGTGGGAAGTTTTGTAATTGAATCGCCTGCTGTGCTGCGCTTTCTTTGCCTGCCTGCGGAGAGGCAGCGGGGCAGGCAGGCCGGGGCTGCCTGGGGCTGGCTCCCCGAGCTGCCGGGCATCTGCGGGCTCTGTGTCTTCCCCAGGCTGAAGCCACCTCTCTGTGCTCCGGGGGGAGCTGCCTCCTGGCCTTGGGAGGAGGCTGCAAGCAGGTGAACCTCGCGCTCCCGCCCGACAGCCCGCTTGGGTTTATATAATATTATATATCTATAATTGTGTGTTTGTTGTTGCCATGGGAATGAGCACAATTGCAAAGCCTGGAGACTGATGTCAAGCCTTGGTCTGCACCGGGCCTTATTGGGGGCAGGTAAAGAGTCAGAAGGGGAAATGGGCTGAGAAGGAGCCCCTTCGCTCTCTCCCCTGCCTGCAGCCCTGGCTGGGCTCCGGTGGGAGAGGTACAGGCAGCTGGGAGAGGGGCAGGGCTGCCCCAGCCTGCGGCATTGCCCAGCTCAGGGCTGGGGGCACCGGGGGGTCCTGGGGGGCTCGTGCTGTTGGGCACAGAGTGGGCAGGAGCAACCCCGGCTGCCTGCGGCCGGGGAAAGAGGGGGCTTGTCTGCAGCCCTCAGAGCACAGCCCAGCTGGGAGCCGGGGGGGTCTGCAGCTTTCCAGGGGCAAGGAGGCAGTTGCTGGTGGAGTGGGGCTGGGCAGGGGAGCTGAGGCGGGCTGCGGAGCGGAGCGGAGCTTCCCGGCAACAAGTGGGGGCCGGGGGGGGGGGGTGTCTCTCGGCTCTTTAATTGGTGGGGGAACTTGGGGGGAGGAGGGAGAGGGGGGCGATGCTCCCCGGCAAGAGGAGGGAGGGGGAAGAAAAGCCACGCTGGAAATGAGGTTATATAAAAGATGTATGATTTGGAGAGCAGAGTGTCTCCTAATGAGGGCTGCACCGGCTCGCTCCACACCCATAAAAACCCTGGTTGGACGTCAAAGCGGATTCGCTTCGGTGATGCTGGGCTAAAGGGGCGCAGCGAGGACTGGCTCCCTCCCCGCCAGCCCAGCCGAGCCCAGCGCCGCGCCGGGCTCCGTCCCTCCGGAGCCGCCGGGAGGGATGCGCCGGGCGGCGCCGGGGCCGGGGCCGGGGCCGGTTCCTCTCCGCCGCACGGTAGGTGGGAGCGGCGGGCGGGCTGCCCCCCCCAGCCCCGCACCGGGCCCCGCTCCTCCGGGAAACTTTGCGGCGGGGCAGGGGCGTGCGGGAGCGGCGGCGGAGCCCCGCGGGACCGGGCGCCCGTCGGAAGCGCTCCCCGCCTCGGGGCTGCGCCGCTCCGCCGTGCCCTTGGCCGGGGGGCTGCGGGGGGGGGGGGGGGGGGGACGACACACACGGGCAGCAGCGGGTCCCCAGCCCCGCCGGTGCGGGCAACCGGGCTCTGCCTCCGGCTGCGGGAACTCGGGGCTCGGCGGAGGCGCCCGAGCCGCCCCCGGGCCCCGTGGCGGGGAGGGGAGCGGAGGCCACGCGTGGGATCTCCCCGGCTAAAGCCGCTTTGCTGGTCCGGCGAGACGAGGCCGTGGGTGGCCGCGGCTCCCCCCCAGCCCTCCCCCCCCAACCCCCATACACACCCCGGGCCACTGAGGTCGGTGCCCCCCCCCCGCACCCCGGGGCTCTGCTGCAAACTTCCTCCGCCGCCCCCATGCTCGGCTCCCACCCGCGTCCTTGGTGGGGGGGCCGAGCCAGCTGCGGGAACGGAGCTGGCTGGTATCTCCCTCCCCCGCAACTCTTTGCAGCAAGTTTGTATGGGGCGGGTGGGGGACACACGGCTTGCACGGGCGGGCAGTTTACCGGGGGGGGGGGGGGAAGGCGTGAGGGGACGGCAGTGTCCCCGGGGAGGGAAATCAGGGGGGAGGGAAATCAGGGGCAGGTGAGCCGCGGGGAGGGCAGGCGGCCAGTTTGGCAGGCGGGAGCGGGCGGGCAGCGTGCCCGGGACAGCCGGCAGTTTGCCCGGGGACGGAAGGGAGAGGGGCCGGGGGGGGGGGGTTTACCTGGGGAGGGGGGAAGTTTTCCCCGTGGGGACGCAGTTTTTCTCGGTAGGTGGGGCTGGGGGTGGGGCCAGTTCCCGGGTTGAGGAGGGGTTAGTTCCGGGGGGGGGGGGGGGGGGGGCAGTAGCAGGGCGGTTCCCCCCCCCCCCCCCCCCGCGGCGGGCATTGCCGGAGCTGTCCCGGGTGCTGAACGTGCGGCCGCCGCCGCCCGCCCGGAGCCCCGGGCCCCCCCGCCCCGACAGCCCAGGCACCAGCGGGGGGGCGGGGGGGGGGGCTCGGGGCTGCAGGAGACTCACCCCCCCCCCCATTGCTAGGGAGGGGGGTGACCCACGCCGGGTTCTACCGCTGCTGTTCCCCTTGTCCCACGCGATCGGGATGTCCTCGCCATCCCCGGGGTGTCCCCAGGGTACTGGGGTGGGACCAAGGTCCCCATCCAGCACAGCGTGGGGAAGAGACACCCCCCCATGCAGCTCCAGCCCCCGAGTGAAGCCCTGGGATGTCCCGCTCAGGGCTGGCTCCTGTATTTCGGGGTGAGCCGGGGGTCAGTTTGGATCTTGCCCCTTCCCTCTCCCCACCCGTACACCGAGGACTGTGACAGGCCCCTCTGGATGCCCTTGGAGCGCAGAAGGGAGTTGTAGTCGCAGGGATCAAAGGAGATGAACCCTGCTTGCCCTGCCTGTGGTCCTGCTCTTGGGTTGGTCTGCAGTAGATAGTAGAAAGCTTTTGTTGTTTTTTTTTTTTTTTACTGGCAAAGCAGAGGAAAAGAGACCTCTGTACCCGCACATCTGGAGCATCTGGTGCTGGGGTGGGTGTGCATCACCCCATCCAGCTCCTTTCCCTGCCTCAGCTCTGCGCTCCCTGAGCGCGCTGACTCCCCAGCCCAGGTGCAGACATTTTCTTCCAACGCTTTCAAGTTATGACTGTCAGGAGGAAATTCTGGCAGGCAACTTGACAATTATCTGCTGAGCCCCCGAGGAGCTGATCCGCCTCTCACTGAAATGGAGGGGAAGTGTCTCCTTCCTTCCCGTGGGAGCACAGGCTGTCTGGAGCGGGAGACGTGGGAGATTGCAGGGGGCAGTTGCAGTGGTCGGGGGCTTGACTGCTTTAAATGCCAGCTCTTCTTCCTCTTGCACATCCCCAAATGCTGATGGCTCAGGCAGACAGCAGAATGGGATCTACAGGGGTGATCACACACAAGCTGTGGGGAGCCTTTTGGGGCAGGGGGGATGTTCAAAATAGCACTCTCCTGAAGATTTCTACCTGCACATCTTGGTTGGCTATCCCTTTTCTGTTAAGGGTCTCAGGTGAGGAAGTCTTATTTTAAAGAATTTGGGTTGGCATCAGCAATTTCTTCCTCCTTCTATTTTCTTCTCTCTTGTATTACCCAGAATATTTCCTTAAAGATGCTACAAACTCAGTCATATACTCCCCAGTTTCAAAACGTGCGTATGTTTGCAAACAAACTCCCAGTACAGAGTCTCTTCTTATACAGAGGTGGGTTTTGTGGGGATATTTCTCTAATCAGATACCTGCACTGGGAGAAGCAGTACCTTCCCTCACGAGCAGAGGAGAGTGACAAGTCCTTGTGCCCTTTGAATTCTGTTTATTCTCCCTGTCAGTGCGGCGATCGTGAGCAAGGACCGGAGAGGCCATCTTAGGCAGAGGGGTTTGGGCTGAATCCTCACTTGCAGTTACTGTTGTGTATCTGCTGATGAGCTCGGGTGGGTCCTCCCTGGTACCCTCAGGGACATTTTGGTTCTGTCAGCTTTCCCCCCCCCCGCCCCGTTTTGCTTGTGTATTTTGTATTTGCTGTTTCAATAGTGTATCTGTACAAAGGCTTAGGAAAACTGCCAGATTGCCTAAATCAGTGCCTGAAAACAACTATATATAGTAACTGATAAGTCACATGAGCTTGGCTCGCATAGATTAGCATTTACCTTTCCTCAGTAATGAGAATATTGTTTGATACTTGTTGATACTGTCAATTTTTACTAAAGAAATATAACCCCGATAGCCAGGGACCGGTTTTGAGAGGAGGCTCCAAATGAAGCTAAAATGCCTGCGCTCTACTCACACTGTTCTGATTGTATCTGTGCATTAAATCAAATCTATATACACAATCTGATCTCTCAAACGTAGCCAAAAATAAACATATTGTGTCCTGAAGAGAGAAGGATCTGTAAGCCACCGTCTGGCTGGAGCTGGATGAAAGTGTGTTTGCTTCCATTCGCTTGCTCCAAATTAACTCTGCGATGGGCTGTGTGCGATACCTGACCCAACGCACCCCGGCTTGTCACGGCAGCTGTAAAGCAAGTGGAGTGAAGTACCGATATGATGCTAAGCAAGTCCTCGGGATCTGGCTGTGGGCATGAGGAACGCGGGGTCTGGAAAGCCCATATGTTATCAGTATGTTGGTTCTATATGCAGAGCGTGGAAACCTGCAAGTACTGTGTGTGTATATACAAAATCAGAGGTATTTATGCTAAGACAACTTTTTCTGTAGCCTCTCTTTCACATGACAATTCAGAAATGCCTAACGAGAACTTGCAGTGTCCTTCTAGGGTAGGCTTGTCTTAATCCCATTTTGTAGAGTCTCAGGCTTATGTTTTCAGGCACGCTGAAAACGTGCGGTTCTTCCTTGTCTTGAAAGACATGAAAGCTCAGTCTTTTCACATCATGACCTATCCTTCATCCCCAAATGCCATCAAAATGAACACGTCCTTGGAAATATCAGTGGCATATCTCAGCCAAGGGCTCCAGTCCCGCTGCAGTGCAGTGGGTGACAACCGGCTCCATGATTCCAGGATTGAGGAGCCAGGATCTGGGGAAGACAAAGTCCTCTCTTCTGGTGCGGGGAAAAACTCTGTTTTCAAGATAGGTGCTGGGGCTGCTTCAGCTGAAGGCAGCATCACCAACATGGGGCTGTCCCACAGGGGAAGGGGAAAAGCCCCAGGAACCGATGAGCGTCGGGGCCCCTTTCCATTCCTCTCATGCACTCATGGATTTTTTGCCACAGTGCCCCATGCCCAGCCCCACGTTCAAGGATGCTGGGGCAGTGAGGATGGCGTGGCTGATGCAGCTTCTAAGGAATGACCTCGCTCCCGCCAGCCTCACTGTTATCAAAAATTAGGAAGCAGAAAATTCCACATCCCCCCACCCCAATCCTGCCCAAACTAGAACCAGAGCTCTCTGTGGGACAAGGAACGGGTCCCAGGAGGCCCCCAGAGAACTTTGCTGTCACTGTTGATACTATGGCAACAAGTGCTAACAGAAAACCCTAAGAAAAGCACAAGGAGAAACTCAGGGGAACAAATTATCTTCACTTTTTGCCTTGTGCAGTCACTGACGATGCCGGTGCAGAGGGTGAGAGCTCTGCTTTGTCTCCATGTACCAGATTCATCGGTTGGGAGTCGCACCGCTGGTCCTCCTGCACCTTTTGGTGTTGAAGAGAGATGATAGCGATGGTCAGGGGACAGAGAAAATCCCCCAGCCTTTTCAGCAGCAGGCTTTCACGGGGACCTGGCAGGAGGCTTGTGCCTCCAGACCGAGGAGCCCAGGCTTGTGCCGTGAGGAGCTTGATATTTTCCTGAGGTTTTTAAATAGTGATATGAGTCACTCCTTATGAAAGTCAGTGACAATAAGGTTTATTGCTATTTAGTGTCCTAATTGGGCTACTTCTCCCACTGGCTTGTTAGAGTAGGAAAATTTAATGCCATGTTAGAAGGATTTTGGGGAGTCAGCAGCAAAGGAGGGGACGAGAACGTGAGCTGCTGAAACAAGCTGTGAGTTTAATTCCTGGACCAGCTCTGAGCTGAGAGCTCTGCCGCTGGCTTTATTGATGCCGGCTGGCGGCTCTGGAGCTATTACAGCTCCAGCCAAACTGCTGCAATTTTTAAATTCCCTTTTTATTTTTTTATTTTTTTATTTTCTAAATGGAGCAACAATTCCCCTCTCGTGCTGTGATTGGATTTTGAGACCATCCATCAGGTGGCATTTTCTCATTTATTTCCTATCTACCTATTTTGTCATTTAGGACAAAGTGGTGTTGTGTTAACACGGGCCCCATTTGTCAAACTGGAGTCACTGGTGTAATTCCAATCCTCTCGGCAAATAGATGGTGGTGAAATTTAT